AAGACTCCACCTTGATGGGCTTTATTATTTTATCTAACTTTGTGTTTATGATGGAAGTCAAACCAAACAGGCTATATTTTTTATGGGCTGCTATAATGTGTTTGATTTTATTAAGCCAAATACATGTAGGATTGATATTTCCGTAGTCCACGGTTTATCTTTACTTTGGGCTGCTGGAATATTAAACCGAAGTTAATGTTATCTAACACAATTCTGATTTTCATATTTATCTTTTAATATGTTGGATATATATTTGTTAGAGTGAATGTTTATCTTTTACACTAACAAATTCTGTTTTAACAGAAAACATTAATCAAGGGATAAGATTTTATTTTGAATCCATACTTATCTACAGCTAACATATTTACTTGAGATTCAAAGTTTGTTTTATAGAATCCCTTGAAGATAGGCTGAATATTGCTGTTGAAGATTAACGTTGATTTTGAAGCCCCAAAAAATAGCGCAGGCTGAATTATTCAATTAACGTTGAAGATTCAATGGTTGCTTCAAAAATCAAATTTAGAAATCCAGCATCTCAACTCTATAAATCGCGTGCAACACTTCACAAGAATTATCAAGTTTCATTCGCTATAGCAAGAGTTGTTAAATTCTTTCTCTCTAGTTTATCAAATATTTTGTTTTGTAGTTAGATTGAGAGAAAAGAAAAGTATATCAAGAGTGCTTAAATTTTGTTATCAAAAGAGTGATATACTATGAGTAGTACTATAATACTCAAGTATAGTAAAAGTGAGATAGCTTTTTATTTCTGGGAATTGAGTTGCTAAGGTGTAGCTAGGTGGCTACGGAGAGAAGATAGGTTGATCTTTTAGGTGCTTTAGGACTCTAAAGGAAGAAATAAAAAGATGTTAAAATCCTACGGGTTGGACAACCCTAGGCGGAGATGTAGGCATATTTGCCGAATTTCGTAAAAATATCGCTATCTCTTGTCTCGTTTTTATTTGCTTTATTTTACTTGTTTTTATTTCTGTTTTAAATCGCAATTTATAATCTGCCTTATTTACAAAGTCTGCTTTTAAGTTTTCGGATTGAATCTCAAAGCCTTGACACTGAAAAGCGAATCAGTTTATTCCGCCTTGAAACTGATCTCAAGACCTTGAGATTTATAATTTCGAAAAGTTGTCATACTCTATTCAACCCCCTCTTCTAGAGTATACTTATTGTTTATACCATTTCCCTATTGATCCTTCATGTTCATTTAGCTTAACTTAATAAGCATGTGGTTAAAAAGCAGAACATAAATTATAGCTTAACTTTAAAAAATTAGAGGAGAAAAATAAAGAATACCAAGTTCTCAGTCAAAGGATGCACAAAAAGATAGCCACAACTCAATAAAATAATCAACAAAGTTTATAGTTCATCATTGACCAAGTTTACACCAGAAAGAATTATTAATTTGCAAATATACCAATTTAGTAGACGATTGGTTTAGGTAGGGCGGCCGGCCTACTAAGTCTTGTTTCTAGAGCTAATTTTACAACTTAAAATTTACTATGGTATCAACAGACCAGAAATTAAACACCATAAATTAAGTATCATTTACAAAATTTCTGTCCCAGCACTCTATTTTGGTTATATATGAACTGGATAAAACTCCCTTAAAATTGAAAAATGCAATCACCAACCAAGTAATTATGACCACATACGGCTACTTAGTGTGCAAACGGAACTTATATTAAGCACATTTGGTCATTTAGGTAGCTTATGATGATATTGTGAGCCAAGGGAATGACTGATCAGCAATGAACAACTTCATAAACACAGTAATTTTGCAGATTTCAAATTGATAAACTACTAATCCAATTGAAATTGATAAACTTCATAAGCGCTTGTAACGAAGAGACTCGCACTTAGGGTCCTTTTGGTAGGGTGTAAAACATATTCAATGTAAAATGGTTTTCCATGAAGGGTCCGTTTGGTAGGACGTAAAATGTTTTCCCTGAAAACCATTTTCCCCATTTTACATTGTTTGGTCAAACTGAAAATTAGAATGGAAAATTTAGGCTGTAAAATTGTTTTACACCACAGTTGAAAACATTTTCCTCCAAAAATCAAAGGAAAACGTTTTCCTTTCGGTTCTCACAAATCACAAAACCCATCCACTATACTTTCTCTCTCCTCTTAAACGCTCATCAACATTTTCTCTCTCCTCCCAAACGCTCAATCTCTGATCTTCATTTTCGCTATCATCGCAAATCTCACTCATCAATCTCAACGAATTTGGTACATAATTGCTCTAATCTCTTTTATAATAAATTATTTTAGGGTTTTGTTCTGAAAATTCGATTGTTTCTAGGGTATATATGCTGCAAGATTTGATTAATTTGTGTTATATTGTTTGATTAGTTTGTGCAAATTGTTTGATTTATTTTGTGCGAATTTGTTTGATTAGTTTTAGCACGAAATTGTTTGATTTATTTTATGCGAATTTGTTCGATTAGTTTTAGTACGAAATTGTTTGATTAGTTTAGTTTTGTGCGAATTTGCTGCAAGATTTAATTAATTTGTGCTGTATTGTTTGATTAGTTTATGCGAAATTGCATTTTCGCAGCTTCAAATAAAGTGAAGTGATTGTAATCCTGGTTATGAATGGGGTTGGAAGTCAATGTTGCTTATAGTGGATTTGATTTACTGCAACCCAAACAACAGTTATATTAGGAACTTGGTTTTAAACCATATTCCAACATAACGATTGGCAGAGTTTGGTGGGCTGAAAAAACCCAGCTTGAAAGTACCATTTCTTGATACTATAGACTGATAATCCTGTAGGAATTGAGTGCTGGTGATGCTGTGGTTGCCAATGGCAGAGCAAAGCAGCCAGCAAAAATAGTGTAGAAAGATAAAAAGCCAATACAGATGATATGATTGCTTAACTCTTGTTGGGGTTTTGATTAGGTTTTCAATGGGGTTGCTTATCTTTTTATTAGTAATCTTTTTAAAATTTTGATGAGCTTGTGATTTCCCATTTATTTCAGATTGACATTATCTCAATCTATCATGGAGTCGAACAATGTTCAAAAGTCTCAGGTTTAATCCACCTTATGCAATAATAATTTGTCATATGTATGTGATTAAAGGAACTAATTTCCTTGATTTTCTTTTTATTTTTTAATCTTTGTAGATAATTCGTAAACGCATGATCATTGGTGTTGTTACCGCTATTATTGCTTATGTCCTTACTTTCCTTAATGTTAAAAATTCTAGGACTAAAAGACCTAAAATAGTTAGGCAACCTTATGTTAATAGGGATAGCTTAAGGGAGGCTAATATCGATAGTGTTTTATATTGTGGTGATAGTCATTGTCTTGGACAGATTCGCATAAGGCCTAGTGCTTTTTTTAGCTTTTGTAATATCTTGGTTGAAAGGGGACTTTTGTCTGAAAGCAAATAAATGAGCGTTAAAGAGCAAGTACTTATTTTTTTATACTTGTTGGGTCATAATGTAAGATTTAGGGATGTTGAGGGGGAGATTTTTTCGATCTACTTGGACTATACATTGCTATTTTCATATTGTGCTCCAAGCAATCCTTCGGTTGTACCCATATTTAGTGAATCCACCAGGAACTCATATGCAACCAGAAATTCAGAACAATCCTAGGTTTTTTCCTTGGTTTGAAGACTTCATAGGTGCTATAGATGGGACTCATGTACATGCATTAGTTCCTATTGAGATGCAAGAGAGATTTCGAGGAAAAAAGGATAAGACAACACAAAATGTACTAGCGGCCGTAGACTTTGATCTAAAGTTTACTTATGTGCTTGCTGGCTGGGAGGGTTCTGCCCACGACTCAAGGGTTTTGGGTGATGCACTTAGAAAGGGATTTAAGGTTCCCGAAGGTAATATTAATCAATTTTCTCTTGTTGATAATAGTGGTCTAAACTTAACATGAATTGATTAAAATATTGATAATAATTTATGGATGTAGGGAAATACTATCTTACTGACGCTGGGTATGGGGACCGTAAAGGTTTTATGCCTCCATTTAGACGTGTTCTTTACCATTTGAAGGAGTATACCGACAATCCTCTCGAGAATGAACAAGAATTATTCAATTTTTCCATTCTTCACTGATGATGTGTATAGAGAGGGCGTTCGGGGTGTTAAAAAAGAGATTTCGCGTCTTAGATGCTGAGCCTTTTTGGTCATATGAAACACAAGTGGATGTGGTTCTTGCTTGTTGTGTGATATATAACTACCTAAGAGGTGTTGATCCCAATGATGCAATTACACGAGAGGCCGACTTGGAGGTTGAAATACATGACATAAGGAAATCGCTTACTCGAAGGAAATTCGTGAGGAAACCAAAGAGTGTGTGAAAAAACGAAATTCTATAGCATTGGCCATGTGGAATGCATATAAGAAGCACCGAACTAATTGAAGTTGTAGAATGTTATTTCTTATTTAATAGATTGTAAACTATTTTGATAGACTCATGGTTCAGGTGAATATATTACTACATTATCAAATATATTGACTTCATATCTAATCGATTGATTTTTATTTTATCTTTTGTCTTTTTGGCCAATTGCTAAGGTCTAGCAAATCATATACTGTATATTATTGCAGTGTTGCTGCCGTGAGTCTATATTTCTGATTTTGCTTCCTATTATTAGTTTATTTTGTTGTGTGTTTAGTTTACTTGTTATGCAGGTGAAAGACGAGAAAAAAGTTAATTTTCGTCGGTCAAAACAAATGTCTAAGGAGCTATTGAAATTTCTTGCTGAAGAAATGAGGAAAGGACTCCGGCCAAATAATACTTTCAGGACTAGCTCCTTCATTGCTGCTGCAAAGATGATTTATGAAAAGTTTTACACCATATGTAGTGCTGACCATGTTGAGAATCATATGAGGACATTGAGAGACTTTTCAGAAATCACTACACAAAAGAATTCTGAAATTTTGTCCTATTTCTAGTCATAAGGATGATGATATTGGTAAAGAAATTGAAAAGTGTTTGCTTGATTGGGGGCTTGAAAATTTCATGTGCATAACGGTTGATAATGCTAGCTCAAATGATACTGCAATTGGGTATATGAGAAGGAAAATAAATGGGTGGAAAACTAGGATTCTTAAGGGTCGTCTCCTTCACATGCGCTGTGTTGCACATTTTGTTAATTTGGTTGTTTCTGATGGGTTGAAAACTGTTAATGAGTCGGTTCAACGTGTTAGGCATGCTATTAGGTTTATCAAACAATCTCCTGCTAGGTTGCAAAGGTTTAAAAAATGTGTCTTAGATGAAAAAATCAACACAAAAAAGGGATTGTGCCTTGATGTGCCTACTAGGTGGACCTCCACCTATTTGATGTTAAATGCTGCTATTGAGCTTGAGGATGCTTTTGAGAACTATTCTGAGGAAGACCCTCACTATGTAGTTGATTTGAATGAGAGGGATGGTAAGGGTAGCCCTGATTCTGATGATTGGAATAATGTGAGAAGACTTTCTAAATTTCTACAAGCCTTTTATGATCTGACCTTGCATGTCTCTGGCTCTTTATATGTCACTTTGAATTTGTTTTTTCATGAATCGGTGAGTGTTGTTGTACTTATGAAAGATTTGGTTTCAAGTGATGATCTAGATATGTGTCTTATGGCTTGTAGAATGAAAGAAAAATATGAAAAGTATTGGGGTGATCCAGAAAAAATAAACCTCCTGATTTTTATTGTCGTTGTCCTTGATCCTCATTATAAGGTTGATTATGTTGAGTGGATGATAACTGAAATTTATGATCCTATTATTGAATCAAAGTTGGTTGATAATGTGAAGGAAGCTTTGAATGCTTTGTATGAGGAGTATCGTGTTTCTACTGCTAATGATGTGAATAGGGAGGAAGTGTCTTCAGGTAAGGATGACAAAACTCCATTGAGACCCAAACATAAGAAGATTGAAGTCTTAAAGAATAAGTATAAGAAACACAAGTGTGAGAGGGATGGAGATGCAAAAATAGAGTTAGACAAATATTTGGAGGAGGATACGACGGAGGATATTGATGAATTTGACATTTTGAGCTGGTGGAAGTTCAATTGTTCAAGGTTTCCTACTGTGGGGAAAATTTCCCGTGATGTTCTTGCTGTCCCTGTTTCGACAGTAGCTTCTGAGAGTGCATTCAGCACTGGGGGCAGGGTTCTAGATCAGTTTAGGAGCTCATTAACTCCCCGAGTTGTAGAAGGTCTTGTTTGTGCTCAAAATTGATTACGTGCTTCACCATTTCCAAGTATTGAAGAATGTTTAGAGGAAGTTGAGCTTCTTGAAGAGGGTAATATATAAGAACATCTAATCAAAATTTACTTATTTTCATTATGTATATATATATTAACTTGGTTATTTTTGTTATGAATTATGATAGACTTGAAGAATATGGCAATTGGTGATGCTGATATTGATGAAGTGCTTGAAATAATAGGCTGATGCGGCTCTTTTCTCATTACTGACTTGTTGTTGCTAGACTTGCTACTGCCTTGCTCTATGCTGTTGCTGACCTACTTGGGCTGCTTCTGTATTACTGCTACTGCCTTGCTCTATGCTGCTGACCTGCTTCTGCTACTGACCTATTGTTATGATGTTACTGTTAGCCTGCTATTATGATGTTGTTGCTTGCCTGCTGCTTGTTGTTGTTATGCTACTGGTTTCAATTGTTAAAGTTGTAATGTTGAACAAAATTTTTTTTTTTTTTGGATGAAGTGTTGAATTTTTAGAACTTTGAATTAGAACTTTGAAGTTTTAGAACTTGTCAATGTTGTTTAAATCTCATTATGCTACTGCAGTACTGCTATGTTGATGAATATGATATTTATATGATTAAATCCCACAAAAATTGCAGATTAAAGCCCAAATAAACAAGGCCCAAAAAATTCGGTTTGGTTCGGTTTTTTCTTTTGAAAATGAAATTTATATGGTTTGGTTTGGTTTGGTTTCAAAAGTAAAGTGGTGCGTTTTGGTTTCTAAAGTCCATAAACCGAATTAGAGTGGTTCGGTTTCGGTTTGGCCTATAAACCAAACCGAAAACCGAACTTTCACCCCTAATTAAAGGAAGCAGGATCCGAGGAGAGAGAAAGAAAGTAAGTAAGAGAGAGAAGAGAGAGTGTGAGTGACGACTGTTTGAAATGATGAAGTGGCCAAGTATCTAACCTATCTGTATCGGACAACTGGTGCCCGTTACAAACACCAACTTATTTGTATCAGGCAAAGCGCTGCCCGTTACAAATAATGCGATTTTTGTAACGGGCATCATTTTGCTCGTTACGAATACTTTTTTCCTGACCACTACGCTGCTTTATTGTAACGGACTGTTATTTTTCCCGTTACAAATAAGTTTATTATAACTGGCAAATTACTGCCCGTTACAAATAGGCCGTTACAAATGACATTTTTTCCACTAGTGAGTCTGTCATCTAATCTTCAGTCTTAATTTCATAAATTCACCGTTTTGATGTTGAATTCGTGTTAATGGTGATACTTTTCCCGAGGAATTGGTGAAGGAGCAAGCGTAGAGTGCCTGAAATTGGAGGATGATGTGAATCAGGACGTGGGAGGTGTTTGATTCTTATTCAATTGATTGTGAATAAGCATGGGAGGGGTTGAGACTCGTGAGTCGAGGTGGGGGAAGGAGGGAGTGTGGTCGCCTCTGAGCGGTTGACGTGAGGTTTGGAGGATGGTCGGCCGGTAGGGGGCTGGTGCTGCCAGGGGAGAAGGAGGGGGGCTGTCGCCGGCAGGATTTGGGCTGGGTTGGTGCAAGTATTTTATTTTTAAAATTATTTTTAAAATAATTTAATTATTAAAAAGTAAAAAAATTAATCATGGTTAAAGAATTTAACTAGAGTTAGACTCATAATTGCATATAATCATCATTAATGTCACCATTGAATTAGTATAACTAATTAGAGTTTATCATAGATAATAAGAATTTTTACAATTTACCACTAAGAAAATTAAAAAATACGCAGTTATCAAAGAGAATTTCCTAAATAAATAATATCATTATGAATATTATGGTTTAAGGTGGAACATTGAATGGCAAGATGGGAAAATTAGGGTATAAGTTGTCCCAAGGGAGAAATGCCATGAATGGTAACATGTACAAGTATGGAAGTTATCTCCTAAAGAAAGAGATGCCGTGAATGGTAAAATGTACAAGCATGGAGGCTATTTAGTACAGGATGGCCGCAAAAGTCTTGTTAGTATTTGCATCAGCTATAGATATACGAGCATCAACGTCGGAGCTTTTTGTCAGTAGAAATCTCTGATCCTCAGACAAATTGCTATCCTAGGTCTTTCAATCCGCAACTTCAAGCTATCGTAAGAAGATTGTTCTCGCACCCATTGTTGTTTACTATCCCGAAGGAGGTCAACTTGCCAGACACCATCAACGATGAACTTTATCTGTGATGTACAATTAGAAAAAAGATGCAAAAAATTAGTTAAGATTTGCTTGAATCTTTCCCTTGATTTTTTTAGGGGGGAGGGGGGTTCCAGAGGAGAAAGAGCCTGAAACATTAGAACTGTAGTGTTAACCTCGTATTTGCCAGGATACAGCTTCTCGTCTAATATATTCTTAGCATCTCTGCACTTAAGAAACCAGTACAACAATATTAGATTTGGTTATGAAGCATACAAGAAAGAGCAAAGGAGAGAAGAAAAGGCCACAAACACTGATGTTAATTTACAAGGTACACACTGCAGTTCAACATAATAGTATGATGGTAACTCATTGGCTCGTTGCTGACCAGATCACATCCTACCAAGAGATTGGCATGTGAAAAAATATGAGGTCAGATTTATTTGTATATCCTTCTGATATTACATTCCCTTCTGATTTTCGCCTCATCTATCTATGATAATTGCATAGGGTAAGTTACGTTAGTCAATTAAGTGACAGAAGAAAAAGTGTGGGACCCAAAGTGGGACAAAGGTCAACTACCAGTTTGGGAATTGAAACTCCAGTTCCTCACTATCCTTTTAAACAGAAATTAAATACAAACACAATAATTCTCCATTCTTGCCCCCCAAAAAAAATAAGTAGGTTGACAGGTCGATTTCAATAGCCCTCTAAGGTGACTAGTTGAGAACAGAAAAGACACATAAAGTCAGTAATGACACTTAAAAGTACAATAAAAAAAAATAATACAACATAGGGGGACCATAACATAGAGAACTGTATACCATACCTCTTTATTTGGAGCCCTTGCCCAAAAACATACAATGGTTAACGGAACTTCATGCAGCACTGCAAGACCTAGCTAGGGTAGATCAATTAGCAGTGGGCTGATGCGACAGGTATTAATTCAATTCGTGAGACAACATAGCACTTTGCTACCTTGACTTACCAATCTTGTCATGATTAGATCACCAATAATCTTTGCAAGAGCAAACCCCATCCTTAAAACGGTGAAATCTCTTGGTATCTCTGGCAGTTCTCTCCCTCCCGACTACTTTTGTAACTAACTTTATCCAAGCATGGCAATCCCACAAACTTTCAAATTTTTTGTAAATCCTAATGCAGCTGGTTTTATGGCTAGTTTCTCACTGTCATAGTACAAGGACCTCTCCTTCTCCTTCTCATCCAGGTTCTATAGCACAAACTCAGTAGCTGGAACATACCCCAACTCCTTAACTTTCTTCATCAGTTCCTTTATTATATAATCTGTTTCTTTAAAACTTGGTTGAGACCAATTCCCTGCCATGAAAGTGTGAACCTCTCCGCCTATGATCACCCAGCTCATAGCAAGACTCTTTTTCAGTCTATTCTCCCTCATTAAAAGACTTAACGCCAATAACCTGATTCCAGTCACCTTTTGATGCATAAAGATTGGAGGATAGAACTAAGCTTCCCTCGTCTTTAGGAGATAGCTCAATTACTTTATTAAATATCCTCCCTGCCATGGTAATGTCTCCACGGAGTCTACATGCACGCAGCAAAGTCCTCAAAAAAAACAATATCTGGATTATCAGCTTGATTTATTAGTGCTTCTGCCTCCTGAAGCCTTCCAGCACGTCCATAAATATCTACCATGCAAGCATAGTGTTCTTTAGTTATCCGAATATTACGATAGCCAAAAAAGGAGTCAAAGATGTGACGGCCTTCATCAACCAGCCCTGCATTGTCGCATGCTAACAGAACACTAACGAGGGTACGTAACGCCATTAGGTTCAAGCCCCAAGTCATTCGGTTGCTGAAGAAGCTCAAGTGTTTTGTATTCAAAACCATTTTGAGCATAAGCATACATCATTGTGTTCACAAGCACCAAATCACGGTCAAACAAGCCATCATAAACCTGCTTAGCAAGTTCCACACAACCACACCTCCCATATAAATCAATCAGAGCAGTACCAATAAACTTATTTAAATGTAAGGCCCCGTTCACTTCACCTTATTTTTTGCTGAACTGAAATTATTTTTACTGACCTGAAATTATTTAATCTGCACTTAAATTATTTTTTACTGAAATGAAATTAATTTTACTGAACTGAAATTCTTTTTGCTTAATTGAAATTATTTTTACTGATTTTCTATTATTCTCCTTTAAAGTTACTAATTTTTACTGAATTGAAATTATTTTACTGAACTGAACTTATTTTTACTGAACTGAAACTATTTTTAATAAACTGAGCTTATTTTGACTGAATATTATTATTTTCATGTGAGTAAACAGGACCTAAGCTTAATTTTAGTATAATGGTGTGAATATGTTTCCCTTGGTCAAGTGTTACAAGGTTGGAGCATGCAACAAGAGCCCCAGACAAGGTAAAACAATTTGGAAGTATAGAGTTGCGCATCATTTCACAAAATTTGGATAGGGCAACTTCCTCTCTACCATTCAGCGAAAGACCAACAATAAAGGATGTCCAAGCAGTAGCGGAGCCAGAAATTTCAAATCGAGGGACAAATGAACATCACTTAGTTTGACAAAAATATTGGAACAAAAGAATACTTAAAATTAAAGTTTTACTACTCAAAAATATAAAGTACGAAGTACTTGGTCAAAAAATCAACATCATTTACCAAATTTTCCTCCATAAACATATTTGATTTGAAAAATTCAAACTATCAATAATATAACTATTAAAATGTAGTACTTGTTCATAAATCTCACTTTGACCCTTTGCCAACTGCTTTGGTTTAACACATTATGCGCAAAATAATGTATTTAAACAATGTTTTTGTTTAACGTGGGAAGACAACTGTCTCCCCTTGT